TCTGCCACCTAATTTATACTCCTGCACTTGTGGTTTATGAATCGGTTTTAAAATTTTAGCGAATAGATCCTGCCTAGAATATGCAAAAAAATTATGAATGTATACTCGTGATTTATTAATGCATTCATATTTTATGGAACAGCTTCTACATGGTGATAAAAAAAAATAATAAAAGAGGCAATTTATTTTACTAATCAGTTGAAAAACGGGTCGCCAAATTTTCCAAAAAATTTAGGAATGCAATACTACAAAACAAAATTATTAATGTTCATTCAAAATCTAAAATACAAGATGCCTAGGAAAAAATAGAAACATCTCAAATTAAACGATGCAGAAGAATTATGTTTAAAACAATGCCTTGTGAACTTTTTGAAATCATAACTTAAATTTGCCAAGAAATAACATAACAGAATCGAAGATTATGTACTGCTAGCAAGCACACAAAAATTTAAAAGCAGCAATAATGACTTTCAGTCCGATAACAGAGAGAATAATTGGTAGGATACAAACAAAAAACAAACACTAAAACCATAAAATCCACGCACCAACAGACAATAACTGGAAGCGAAAGAAAACATGAGATAATCAATGACAGTACCACAAGATTAATAATAGATACAGCAATAGAAAAGAATATGACGTTTATGAGAAGCCACTTCAGAGGAAAAAAAAAATTATAAAGGAACATGGCTCATTTTTTAGTTATTCTCATTAATATTAGTGTTATTATTATTGTCAATATTAAGCTGAGGCGAAAGCCTGTTCAGGCCATTTGATGGACCGCGGTAACAGCAGCTATATTTATATGTATAGTCTCTCAAATACTACAACGTTATATGGCCCCACTAAACTTAATAACGGAATGTTATAATTCTTTTTGTGCAGCTGGTTACCGGCTCAAGCCTAGCGTCATAAATCAAGGATTTGTCTCAATATTTACTGCTGGATAATCCGCTTAAACAGTCGTAAAGAATTACAACCGTGGGTTTGCCTTATTAACTGCTCCATTGTCGTCTTCACAATACCCTAATTTTACCACAGCCTTGTAGTATTTGAGAAACTATACTACCGTCACCCTAAAAACAAAATTAAAAACTACAAAGCACAAATTACCGTGAACCATGAAAAAAGAGGTTCCTCTAAATGGACCAAATTACTTCCAGAATTTTTCATTTTGGTTAAATATAACAGGTGTTCACTTGAAAAAGCACTCGAAGAAAACATATGATGGGCTAATTTAGAAAATGCTATAAAAAAAGAAGTAATAGAGTGAAACTTGACCAAAAAAAATACCAAAAAGAAACGATTGACTGGATGAGGAATCCATAAAAGGAACCAAAAAATGTAAAATTAAAGAACCTATACATGCAAACAAGAAAGGAACAAGATAGGGCAAAACACGTAGAACAGAGGGTAGCAGTAAAGCAGTTGCATAGAAGACATCTACAAAAAACACGAGGTTAATAATTTCTATCAAGATATAAAAGAAATAAAGAGAAGATACTAATCAAAAGGAATTTACATTAATGATAAAGAAGATAAACTCACTGGAAGTCCTGGAAGTAAACAAGAACAGAAATACAGTTGAAAAGATCATCTTCAGGATCTATTAAACGAAGAAGCGATATAAATGGGAAAGATGTATCTGAGATACACCAACCCAAGGATCAAGAAATAGAAGAAATCATTTGTGATATGAAAAACAATAAAAATAACATCACAGCAGAAATGTTAAGTACGCTCTGCTATATATAACGTCTAAAATTTTAGAAGCATTGATCAAAAAAAGCTTGTAAGGTACCAGGGAAATTTTCGGAACGCCAGATCAACGACAGATCAAATTTTCCTCCTAAACCAGACTCTGACCATCTGTTGAATATGAAATCCCAGTATTTTATTATTTATTGATTTCAAAGCAGCCTACGATACGATGAATAGAAAAACCCTAATCAAAATTTGTTCTGTTCCGGTACAGCGAGAGGAGACGGATGATTTCGCGTATGCAGAGAGCTAAGAAAAAATAATCATCTGTGAAGGGGACTGTTGAACGGTGTATTAGAAATCAACGAGAAAAAGAGTCGATATATGCAATTAAAAAATAAACATGGTAACAAAAACAAGGAATAACTAACGTAACAGAAGAGAAGGCATGATAATAGAAGAAAATGATAGCTATATGCAGTTACGAATGCGCTTATATAACAAAATAAAATAGAAATATGAAAGAGAAAAATTTTAAGGAAAATTTATGGAGGAAAAAAAAAACAAAGAGATATACGGGTTACTTAGCGAATTAGCCGTCTTGTAAATTTTATCAACAACTTTCTTAATATGTTCGATAAATGTAAATTTAAAGTCAAATGAAATTCCCAGGTTATTATACTATATAATAGATCTCTTAATAAGTACGATTAGTGTTATAGTCGTAATGAAAAAGTTAAGCAGTCTTCTGTGGAAATTTTACGATATAAATATAAATTAAAATTACCTGCAAAGAGTTACTTATGTAACGTAATGTGATGTAACAATACCCGGAAGGTCGTTAATAAAGAGCAGAAATAACAAAGGACCAAGTTTTGAACCTTGAAAATTGGTCTAAGTTTATTTCGACAAAACTTCCCTCGCTTCTTTGAAAAATTATAAAATTAAATTTTGCCATATTTGTTTTGGGATAACCTCTACAAAGTAACCACCGGCGGCATAAATAACACCTTCGCAGCCCCTGCGCCGTGGGGGCACAAATTGTAAGGGATTGTGCAAACTGAACAAGTACGGGCAATGTAAAAGATATTTATCCACTTTCATTCTGTAAACTATCATAATACCGGTTTTTCTTTGGTATGGTAATGGTAAGTTTTACAGCATTAGTGCGGTAAAGAGTGACTTTTAGAAACGGAAGTTGCAAAACCATTCATTAACATAAATTACACAGTTTGAGCCATTTGTAAAGTTAACTACAGACGCTGTTTCCATGTTGAAGCTGGACTTTTCCGCTGTGACGTTACATGTTGAACACATAGTAACTGAAGAACCCATTATTTTCATAGCAATTATTTTCTTATTTTCGACCAGTGTTTTAACATACCCTTCTGCTACGTCATCTAACTTCCAGCCTGCAAGCAAGTTATTCCTTGAATATTTCCTCACGTTATAGCAAATTCAACATAATTTTAGTTTTTGAATTCGATGAGGTGATCTTGATAAATTCTTTTCCCTCTCTAACGTCTCGTGTCGTCAAATTTGTGATCCCCCCGAGTCGACAAGCACCAAAAACTCCAACTATCAAAACGCTCATAAAGTATAATAAATTTGAGATTGTTTTTTATCAATATGAGCTCGAATTTGTCTTCATAAATAAGAAATCCTTATCATTCATTTCGTTAAGGAATTGATTTATCTCTTCTTTAGAAAAATAAACGGTTTTCTAGATCCGCAAACTTTTGATTTCCGCTTCAAGAAAGCCACAACCTCATGTCTACTAATATCAATTTTTTTCTTTAGATGTAGCAGGAATTGAGCAGCCACTTCAATATCAAAAGGCAAATCATCCTATGAATCACAAATTTTTAAAAACGTAAACAAGTTAGTAACTACATAAACTTCTTTGAAATGACGTCATCAAATTGCTGGTAGGGATGAGTAGTAAAATTTTGGTTCGCGTTTAACCATCTACTTAGATGATATTTCTAACATATATACAAAATTTGACAACAATCGAGCAGTTTCGGAGTTTACTTGTCTAATAAAAATGGATACAGACACCAGACAGACAGACCGACAGACGAAAACGGGAAACTACTTTTTCGTTTTGTAGGGGTCATGAAACGTCAAGAAAATATAAAAGTAGTCATTCGTCCGATGGACTCGAATACTATACTTCTTTAGCTTACGCTCGGGAAGTAAAGAAATGTCTATTCAGCAAACAGGATCGGAACAGATGTACCAGAAGTTGAGTAAAATCAGATCAGTTTAATTTTCCAAGTAAAATTTAATGATTTATCTGCTTAAAAGCCTTTTGAAAATCAGTGTAAATTAGCATCGATAGCCTCGCTTACAACTTCAGAGAAGACCGCCAAATTTGTAAGAAAGCATGCGTGTTAATTTCAGGACAATAGTGATTCTGAAAATTTATTCACTTTGTTCAACTGCTTATTACAATTAAATTTTTGTGTACTAACACTTCGTTATAATTTTGTTTAGTTATACGAAGCTCCCTGTTCATGCTAAAGCGGTGCAGTACGTATAAATTTGCTAATTAGATTGCACTGTTTACATTCTCTACATAGTCTACCTAAACGCAATGTATTCAAACGTTACACAAACACATCACTTGACTTACACACAGCTTTGAGTTATCTAAATCACTCTCATATCGCACCGAATATCTTATTACCATTGAAAAGTTTATAGTTTTAATATTTGTGTATACTACCGTGTAATCATAAGCGATTTACATTCTGTTAATAAGGTAACTGATTACAAAAGTTTACTGTGTCAGTGTGTGGAAAGATTGTGAAAATCGGTATTCTAGAACTGATGCTCTTCATACTTAATTTATTATCTGCACTTCCATTTATAGCAACCCTAGTGCGAATATCAGCCCATTACCTGCAACTAATACACAACCATTTCAATAAAACTCAGTTACTTCGTCGCCATTTTGATTTTATAGCCTCATAAAATTTTAACAGCGCCACAGGTGAGTCGTTTCGTTGACTAAAAGAGTCTCTCCTGGCGTTCGCTGATAGTCCGTCCATCGCGTAACCATTCAAACTCGGACATCGAAATGATACATTGACTTCATCGCCCCCAACTGTCTATATTGTTTTCGACCCATTTATATACCGATCGCTTCTATATAGAAAACCGTCTAGTGTTTTATGATCCCTTAAAGAAAGATCCCCTTCATTTCCAAGTCAAATTCCTCGCGATCGTATAGCGCGTGAAACTCGTTCTCGAAACTTTAGGCGCAAATATATAAACATTGGATTTTGTTGCAGCGGCGTCGGACGAAACTTCAGACGTGCCTTCTGGTGGTGACGTCTGGGTTCTGGTCATAAAAAATGCCAAACCCTCCGACTCCGGGATCTACGTGTGCGAGGTGAACAGCAACCCCATCGTGAGGAGTTTTCACAAGCTGAGCGGTTAGTTCGGTCTCTATTGGAAATTTAAACATTGTGTGAGATTTATCGCTTCCGCAGTTTTATCGAAGGCCCTGCTTCCCCCGAGCAACACGACGGACCCATCACAATACGAAGAGCAAAAACAGCAGTTCAGCAGCAGAAATCACAATTATACGGACTGTTGCGTGGGGCGGAATGTGTCCTCGAATTGCCTTGGTTTTTGCAACATTCAGAGTATACTTGAAGGTACGTAGAGGGAGACAACTTATGTGGACTATCATTTTGATATAGCATTTGCACTAACCGATTTACATTTACGGAATTTATTTACTGTAACTGCGGCGATTTTAAAGGTACAAAATGTCTGTTAAGTCATAATAACTGTAACGGAAACTATAATTTTAGTTCTCTAGTCCTCGAAAAATTGACACACTTACATACTAAGTGTTTTTTAGTTTATTAGTTTTTGTAACAACCAAAATGACTAAGATTTAGATGAATACTCAACTGAAAAAAGTTTTTTAATTTGATCCAGCGTAATTCAGGTTAGAATAAAATCTTAAGGATCACAAATAGAAAGAGTGGCTTAAGAACGTCTTCAACTGTGTTCAATGTACCAAGAGCTTCAAGAGTTTAAAGAAGGAGCAAATAATTGAAATATTTTGAATATGTTTTTCAGCCGGGTGGATCGTAAATTGTCCTTTTTTGTGATGAAGGCAAATCTGTGATGTGAAATATTGTTTGCTCCGGGAGACATTTATTTTTTTATATTTCAAAATCATTTGCAGAAAATCGCATTATGATTTAGTAGATTGTCTTTACGTCTAGTATCAAAAAGACCATTTTTTTTACAGTACGTTTACACATACACAGGGTGAATCACTAAGCGCACTCTCTTCGATATTTCATTCATTATTAGAAATAGAAAAAATGTTGAGGACCAAAGTAAGAAGGTTTTTTAAAGACGATCCTAAAACTATTTTCATCTGTATAATAGTGTTCTATAATTTAAGTCGTAACACACAATTTATACTGTATATATTTTTACATATTATAATTGATTTTTTTCTAGGTTGTATAACCATAGTTTACGGAAACAGGAGAACTTTTTTCGTACTCTAGAGGTCATTCACTGTCGAGAAAACATTAAAGTAGACATTTATCGGATGGACCTAATCATAGTACTTCCTTAGTTTAGTACTCGTACGTTATTATCGATGCAAAAACATTCAGCAATAGTTAAGAATTCATTAATATTAAACGTGATGCCAAATTATGTGCATTAAAAACAAAAATTGCTGTTGCTGCCACATATTCACTTTTATTTTTATTTTAAATTTGTTTTACGTCATGGGTATAAGGTAGTATGTTTGTAATTTTCTCGACGTTTCATAAATCTTAGAATATAAAAAATTAGTTCTCCCGTTTCATCTGTCTGTTCTGTGTGGTTCACTGACGCTTTTATTACTCTGAAACTACTGATTTAACAGTGATGAAATTTTACATGATTTCTCGGGCCGTTTCCACCAAAAATTCGATTTTTCGATCACTTTCGAAAATTACCTGTAGGCATTTTCTTGTAAATATCGATCCCCAAAAGATATATATTTTCGGTTTCATTTTGTCGAAAAATCGCATTTTCCCAGAAACGCCAACTGAAATCTGGAAAATTTTAGGATTTTAACAAATTTGACGTTTAAAACGAATATTTCGAAAATTTTGGTCCGGGACCATAAACATTTTTATTTAAATAATAATGTCTTTATTAAAATCAAAATGTACCATAAATTAAGTCAAAATACGTCGAATGATTTTAACAGGAATATTAGTGGAAAATTAGTGATATTTAATTAGAGGGTGGGTGGGCGGGGCTAGTACGTGTTAAGATAAGACTGAAAAATAATCAGAATAGTCACTAGGTTGGAGAGGGGGAGGGTGGGCGGGGCTACTGCGTACTTATAAGACTCCGTTTAAAATCTTAGTAGATGGTAGCCCCACCCACCCACTCCCTCTTCAGCCTAGTACTTGCGAAGATAAGACGAATTTTGGCAATTTACCTACTCTAAGAAAATAAAGGGCGAATAGGCATGGCTAGTACCTATTAAGATAAGACTGATTTCGGCCACTAATAACTATTATTAATTTGGTATTACGCGAAAATGAAATTACATTATAGTGATCACCAGAAGTAGAAAGAATGTTAAAGAAGTTAAGCGTTTTTGAATTGTAGGTGTACCACGAACATATTTTATGAAAAGACTTTCTTCTCTGCTCTATAGTTTTCGTATAATTTGGTCCTTCAACTGATTGTAGTTTAGCAAGTACTAACCCCGTCCACTCCCTTTTGTTCTCTTAGAAAGTACGTCTTTGCCAAAATCAGTTTTATCTTCGCAAGTACTAACCCCGCCTACCCGCCCTCTATGTTCTTAGAAAATAGGTTATTTGCCAAATCAGTCATATCTTAGCAAAGCTAAAATAATACAAAATTTGGTGTAATAAACCTGGGTAGAATTTGATATGCTCTATTTTCCAACGTATATTCCATTAAAGCTCTGGGATTGGAATCTCTTGAAAATCGAAAGTCCAAATTCTTTTTTGTTTTACGCCGACAACCTACTCCTCCACTGTAAAGATTTAGGTCTTGCTTTGAGCAATCATGTCACATATTGCATTAGGTGCATGTCGTGACAGAAATTTTGGCATCGTAAGATAATTTTCTAACCTACACCAGTAATTCATCAAAATAAAAATATTCAACTCACCCCAACAACAATAATCTGCAACGATTTATATACACAAATAGGCACTTAATTCGGAAGATAATAATAAATGAAGTGGAGAATATCAAAGCAGGGTTACCAACGATATATATGTGTGTTCCTAAGTATTTTAAAAGAATTAGGAAATGCCCTACTCTCTAAGAAAATAAAAGGCGAGTGGACGGGGTTCGTACTTGCTAAGATAAGAGTGATTTTGGCAAATGGCATACCTTCTAAAAAAGTAAAGGGTGGGAGGGTGGGACTAGTACTTAGAACATAAAACTGATTTTGCAAAGGATATGTTTTCTAAGAAAATAGAGGGTGGGTGGGCGGGCCTAGTACTTGATACGAAAAGACTGATTTTGGCACTTTTGACATTTTCGACCATTTTTCAAATATTTTCGAAAATTAGTTGAACACATTTTCTTCTAGATTTCGATATCCAGAAGTTATTTTCGGCTTCGTTTCTTCGGAAACTCCTACCGTTTTTCCAAAATCGCTAATTGAAATACAGCAATTTTTACAGTTACGTCAAAATCGCTCGGTATAAATTTTTGTAGATATTGCATCATCCAAGAATATGAATTTAACATTGATTATGTTTGAGATAACTCTTTAGATACTCTATACGTTATTGGAAAATTATGACCTGACCTGTTTTTGAGTTACTTTTGGGATTTTTTTTTTATTTAAAACAATCTTGAGGTTCTAGGTATTCCTGTTTGGAAAGAAGTGATTTGGAGTCTCTAGTGTCTTTTCTTACAATAATTTAATCAAATTTCTTAAAGGATACGTCATTTGCTAAAATCAGTCTTATCTTAGCAGGTACTGCTAGCCCCGCCCACCCACCCTCTCTTCTCTTACAGGCTATCTCATTTGCCAAAATCAGTTTTTTCAAATCATCACGCGAGATCTAATATTTCACAATTTTTTGTGGATTCTTAGGATATTTTCCAAAAGCTCAATTTTTTGAAGAATTCGAACCCCCTAAGTCATATTGGACCTCATTTTTTTGAAAATCCTCGCATTTTTGTAGAACCGCCAATTGAAATGTGGCAATTTTTACGATTATTAAAAAACTTGGAATATTTAAAAAATCCTGGGAAGAACCAAACTTTCATATTTTCGAATTAGCAGATTGAACAACGTGATTTTTTCTCGATTTTTAACAACTTCCCCAAAAGCTCAATTTTTTAATACTCCCCCATTATAAAATGTTTGATCATTTTTCAAATACGTTCGAAAGTTAGATTTTGATTGCTAAAAGATATTTTAGGCTTCATTTCGTAAAAAAAACTTTTCTAGAATCGCCATCTGAAGTGTGGGAAATTTTAGGATTTCTACTTCCTACGCTAAGGAAGTATTATAATCGAGTCCATCGGAGACTCCCTACTTTTATGTTTTCTCGACCTTTCATGGCCCTTAGGATATGAAAAAATAGGTCTCCCGTTTCCATCTGTCTGCCATGTCTGATAGATAGTCTGCCGTCTGTTAGAATTTTTATTAGACCGATAATCTTCGAAACTACTAGACCTATAATTGTCACATTTTGTATGTACATTAGCAATATCATGTAGATGGTAAAACGCTCACCAAAATTTGGATAATCATCCCCACCACCAAATGGCTTGACGTCTTATCCAAAATTTACAATATTATATATTTTTTTAATTTTATAAAATACTCTTGCACTAGTGATATATGGATTCGTATTTAATTTTCCTTGGAGATTCAGATTTTTGGAAAAAAAATCAAAATATATAGCAACATTGTGCAATTTAACTTTAAAACTACAAAACCGAATGCTCTGAAATTTTGTAAACATTTTAGGGTTATAGTAGTGATGGTAAATCTTTAATCAAAATTTATTCGTTTACCCCTCCCAAAAAATTGATGACGTCATCCCAAAATTTGGTCAAATAAATCTTACCTAAAATGTGCAAAATATGATAAGTTTATACTTGTAATTTATCACTCCATTAATAGTATTTAGATTTGTTTGTACTGGGTGTCTCAAAAAAATTAATGAATGACTCAATTTATTGTATTTATTAAATCAGGAACTATGTATAAAACTGAATGCTTTGAAATCTTGTAAACGTTTTAAAGTTATCGTAAACATGACAAATTTGTAATCAAAGTGTATGTGTTTAATCCCTCTAAAAAGTTGATGACGTCATAAATCCTATCGAAAATGTGGCTTATGAAGAGTCTAGCCTTGTGATTTATCATTGAATTTATAATTTTTAGAATTATCCCGGTGACTCAAAAAAATTAAAGAATCAGTCAATTTATTTTATTGATTAAACCGGGAACGGGTCACTCCATTTTCCCGAAAATTTGGGAATACAAGACTGTAATTATTAGTATTACACGGCACCTACCCAAATTAATCCATCTCTTTGCAAAAATGTTGATGACGTCATCACAAAATTTTGTAGAGGATAAACTCATTTGAAACATACTCGTAGCATGCTTCTTTACATTTACTTTAACAATACATACATATTTTTATTTTAACTTCTAGGGGTACTCATAAAAAATAAAATTCGCAAAATCAAGTTTTATAATTTTTCGAAAAAGCTGGATGTTTTTATTGTACTTCAGGGGCGAAGGAAGTTCTGTCGAAATAACCTTCGACCAATTGTTTAAAAATGTGCCATTCAAAGCAAATGTTTTGAAAATTTTGGTACTGGTTCATGAACACATTATATTTTTCAAATTAGCAGAAGTTTTTGTGGATTTAAAAAAAAAATCCGAAAGCTCAATTTTTCAATACCTTGTGAAATTTTTGATCATTTTTCGGCCACCTAGATTAGCTAGACACTTTTTTGTAGAATTCAAATCCGAGAAGTATTTTAAGCTTCATTTCGTCGAAAATCTGGACCATTTTACATAACTGATAATTGAAATTTGGCCCCTGTTACGATTTTGTTTTCAAATAGAATATTAATAACGTCAGATTTTTTTATGGATTTCTTTTATCAACTTTTCCAAAACCTCAATTTTTCAATACGATGAAATGATATGAAATTTTTGATCATTTTTCAGACACCCACGAACATTAGATACGAGTACAAACATTTTTTGTGGATTTCGGTCCCCAAAAGTTAATTTCGACTCCATTTCTTCGAAAATTACTACCATTTTTCCAGAATCGTCAATTTAAATCGGACAAGTTGTATGATTTTTCAAAAATTTTAGTTTCCGACCAAATAGAAAGGTTAATAGAATCATAAATTTCAAGTAGAGAAGTATGTGATTTTATAAAATTAAATAACACTTATTCGCTCAAATTGTAAAATAACGTCATCATTTTTGAAGAAGGATATAAAGGAATAAATTTGATCAACGATTTTCCATGTTTCTAATTACTTAAAAGCTTTGCAAGATTCCAGAGCATTCGGTTTTGCAATTTCAAATATAAATAGTAAAATATTTTTGAAAATATATAAAATATTTTGATTTTTTCTTCAAAAATCTGGATATCTAAAGTAAAAACTGAACACGAATTCATAAACGACAAGTGCAGGGGTTTATTATTTTATAAACTTTAAATAAAATTTAATGATATAAATTTTGGAGATCAAGTAAGTCATCCCATTGGTAGTGGAAATGATCAGGCCAATTTTGATTAGCGTTTTACCATCTACACGATACTCCTACATATAAAATTTGACAACAGTCGGCCCAGTAGTTTCGGAGATTACCTGGCATATACAAATTGACATAGACGACAGACAGGCGAAACTGTGAGACCAATTTTTTTGTCCTCTAGGGGTCACGAAACGTCCAGAAAACATGAAAGTAACATTCGTCAGACCATCATTCAAGCAGCATTACAAAAGGGCTGGGTACATGACTGTAGATAAAGCGCGTAATTACATAATTACGACATTTCTGTCGAAAGAAAAAATTTTTGAACCAGTTGGCACTGATGGTCAAGTTTTTTATGTAAAAATTATGTTGAAGGTTTGAAAAGCAAATTCTTAGTATAAAAAAAAATCAAAATCGATATATCAATGACCTTGCTATATTCAATGGACGTCCATATACTTTTCACTTCCGGCCCCATACCGTTCCGTATTCAACCCATTGCAACAAAGCGGATACGAACGGAAACAAAATGACATATTTGGCGTCACAACACTAATTCCAAACGTAGCAAGAGAACGCGCGTTGTTGCAACAAAAAATTATGTGCATCATGTAACCCTCCAAAATTTTCATAAAAATAATCATGTTCCAGACCTGAGTAGTTAGCACAACTATTTTGAAAACATTGTTTTTTATAAACCCGTATTAGCTCAGACATACGATTTTGTCGTTATAGTCTTCTTCTGCAATTTTCATTTTAAGTTCACCGCTAATACTAAATTACTTAATACAGCAATTTTCTTTCAAGTATGGGGACTCCACGTATAATTAGTTTACAGAAATATAGGTCACATTTTTTGTATCTTTCATCGGTTGAACACATAAAACTAAAGATGCACGCACGTGATAAGTTTAAATATAAAACTTACTTTCAATTAATGATTTTGAATACCTTAACGAAGCTAATCTACAACGAACAATCAAAGAGTAAAGGTATTAAATTTCATTTGTAGTATGATCCCGCTCTGTCACCAGAAGTTGCGACTTTAAATTTTATCAAACGCTATCAGCTACCAGCGATTTGGCTAAAATTTTCAATATAAAAACTAGAGTTCACACCCCTTCACAAGATTTTTGATTCCATTTCACCCTATTAGGGAACTAAATCAAATCGTAACATTTCAAGAATGTATTGAAAATTTTTATATACGAATCTACAATTTAATTTACAGTTGCACTGCACTGCATTTATCGAAGTGGACATTCTAAATTCGGTCCAGGTGCTTTCAGTAGTTTATATATGTTTTTATTGTGATTGCAGGAAGCACAGGACAAGATCCGGAGAATTGTGAAGGGGACTTTCCTTCCATTGTTAGATGTATGGCTGATGGACGTAACCATGTTCCGTGTTGCATTCAAGAAAGAGTTCCAGACATTTGTCAAGATGTTTGCAGAGGCGAGTACACAGCCATCACCGACAACATAAAGACGCATTTTTCATGTTCGTCGTACACTGAACAGACGTTAGCTTGCATCGTGGAGGGAATAGGTGAGTCTATAGATAATACAGATAGCGCTACATGAACTTATTTTTCCATAAGTGAGTTGGAAGGTACATTTAGTCTGAAGTTTTGCTTGATTTTGTGTGGAAAAGGGAAATGGGTGTATTTTGTCCATATATGTATATGTATGTTTGCAGTTGACGTGCCTCTCTGAATAGGTTTATACAACTTTGGCGAACTTCGATAAGGGTGGGAGTGGGAAATTTTGTACACGAAAAAACTAAAAGACTAAATGAAAACAATGTCAAAGTTCATAAAAACAAAAGATAAAGAGGAGGACACAGGGGAAATCCCTCTAAGGATTAACAACACGAAGAATTAAATACACAAGGGATTATGGATAACAGAATTAAAACGGGATTATGTGATGAACAGCCTTTACCTATACTTGATTTATTTTGATCAGTTCACATTTTTTATTCACAAGCTAAATTACTTCAGTAATTGTCATTCTCTGAATAATGAAAAACTCATTGAAATTATGATAAATTTTGGTTTTGAAAAGAGCCACTTCAAGCAATAACCCATACCTATGTTATCTGATTTTCAGAACTCTTACCTAGCCCACCACAAAACGTGGAAGTTGAAGCCTTAACCGAGAAATCCCTCAAGGTTTCTTGGTCTATCCCCGTCGCCAACTCTGAAACCATCACCAATTTCGCAATCAACGTAACCTCGTTGCGTTCTTTCGACGAACACCTGATAGAGCTACCATCCACGCAAAGACCTCCCGCCATTACCCACACCGTCCAGGTTAAAGTACCACCATCAGAGAACACCACAACCTTAAACAACCTCAACCCATTCACCATGTACGAAGTGACAGTGATTGCTGTCAACACCCACGGCTCCAGCTTACCCAGCTACAGCGTCCGCTCCTTGACTCTCACCCCAGGCAACATGAAGAGCACAAAAGTCGGAGACGCCCCTCAGCTTCCCGACATCAAAAGCTGCTGTACTAAGAAAGGGATCGCTCACAAAACTTGTCTCAACAAGCTATGCGATCCCGCGCTAGCGGATACTGCGGAAATCACCGACTTGATGATCTGTGCACCTTGGGCAACCGACACCTTCAGTTGCCTCACGAACGGATTAGATCACACCCCGTGCTGTAAAGCGAGGGGTCTGCCCGATTTATGTCAGCAATTGTGTACAGGGAATGTGTCGAGCATCGATTTCAACTATTTCAAGTGCTTGAGATATATGGGAGAATACACTAATTGTCTCCTTCAGGGTTACGGAGTTCTCCCGAGCGCTCCCACTCAAGTTCACATCACCAACATAGAAACGGAGTTTGCGATTATACACTGGTCCACACCCAAAACCCTCGGAGACACGGTGCTCCATTATAATGTCCATTATAGGAACGTCGCCACTTATGATAATGAGTACAAGGCGATTCCGAAGGTGCATAGTCCGTACATTCTGGAAGATTTGGAGAGCGATACGGATTACGAGGTTTATGTAGAGGCTGTCAATACGCACGGTGTGGGCATGCCTAGCAGTAGGATTACTTTCAGAACAGAGAGTAAGGTAAGATTTTTATTTTAATAGAAATTATAATAATAATTAACGACTAGTCGTTTAAATACCATGAGTAGTTTTAACATTATGTACGGATGAATTCAAGGTTAGGAAATTATTTATATTTTATATCTTATACGGTTAAAATAATACTCAGTTGAATATTACAAATAGGCACTATAACTGGCTTGCATAAATATGTAGCCTTGGAAAATGTAACGTTCAATTGAAAACTAAATTGGGACCACGTATTCCGACTATCTCTAAAAGGGGAATATCAAAAATAAAATTATGTGTTTTTACCTATTTTGATTACACACTACACTATAGCAGTAAAGCGAGTTGACTTTGGCCTTTCTCGCCATTGATCATCATCCTTCTAGTATCGAATGAAAGCGGAGTTTTTAGTCTCCGCACATCAATCATTAGCACAATATTTGCCAGTTCAATGAGAACCGCTTTCTCGACCGAACTAGAAAGTAAAACGAGTAGTGAACACATGCTGTTTTTTGCTAAATACGTTTAAAAATGTTAAATTAGACGGCTCTCTTGATAATGTTAACGTGGTTCCGCAAATGTTTTGTTTTATTTCATTCATGGATGTATTAATGAATAACTCGGTCAACATTTTAGTTTCCTTTCTTCTTGGATCCGATCACGTTATTATATAGCAAGGCCATGTGGTCATGAATAGTTAGAACTATGCACTACCATGCACTGTAAGCCTAGGCCGGTTGCTGTCTTATTTTTGTGAGCACAGCATTCTTTAATATTAAATTATTTTAAATTGGAAAATTAATATTTAACGTTCATTTGTTTTTGGCTACGACAACTTTTTTTTAATGACACCCTCTAATTAGAGATTCATGTAAAGATTTTTTTAATTTAATTTAATTTTCAGGTTTAATTCTTCTATACATTAACAAAAACTAAAAAATCTCAAACTTGCTAGCAAAGATTTTAGCATGAAGTAAGTAATTAAATTTAGATACGCGAATAACAGTATTAAACTTCAACACAAAAATCAAATTAATTTTTTCACAACTTTTCAGCAAAATATGATAATGATGAATTCAGAACAAAACTATACAAAAATCTGAAAAAAAATTGATAGGGTGTCATTAGAAAAAAGTTGAACGTGATAGACAAAAAAAGATTAACTTTAAATATTCATTAATTAATGAAATTGTAACACATTTAAAACGATTTAATTTGACGTCACACAAAGCTGTACTCTCAAAAATAAGACAGCTACAAGCCTGTTTATTTTTTCGAACAAAAACAAAATTAATTTAAAAAATATAAAAATCTAAATAAAAGTTAAAAACTACTCTAAATTTTTCTGCAAAAAATTTAATTAACATAGACGACAAACCACAGACGACAGACAAACGGAAACGAGAAACCTATTTTTCGTACTCTAGTGATCATGAAACGTGGAGAAAACATAAAAGTGACCAGTCGCCCGATAGATTCGATTACAATACTTCCTTAGCTTACACTCGGGAACTAAAAGATCATAAAAAACAATTAAATAAGTAGGGAGATATATCGTCATTTAAACGGAAACAAACGTTGCTAATTTTTTTAGTTATTTCATTCCGAGGTTTCATCTTATGCTATTTTTAAATCGTCACTATTCATGAGTTTATTCGAGGGCCTGTTGGATGAGGTTGATCTACAAGAATACTACTTCCGATCTCAAATCTGCCCTACCTTATTTTAAAACAGATTCATTTTTGTGCAAAAATCAGTTAAGGGAATCGTTTAAAATATACTTAAAAAGTTCTCGTTCAAAATTTTGTGTAATCACGCCAAGAAATTTTGCTCTTGTCCACTGCAGCCTATCTAACTGGCTATAGGATTATGAAAATCAACAAAGAAGAAGCAGAGAAGTCTAATACCCCTCGCTGCTGGGTGTTGAGTACCGACAATACTTTGACGTGCGATAATAATTGTAAATAACTAGTTCATTGAACTGTTTTCAGACAGCAAAGTGACTACTTTTCTACCTCTAATCACTTCGCTGCCTAAAAATCTTGGACTGTGTTAAACAGTAATAATTAATTTCTACTGTTCTTATGTACCTAAAGGAACCTACAAAATTGTAATATGATCTTCTACAATGTTCAAGGCCGATTTTTTAGCTTATAATCTTTTTGCCTTTTCTCTATTTGTATTAATCTACTTCCATATTTCTTCGTCTCATTTATTTTTTTTTTGTCTTTTGTGCGTCTTTCTTTTTAACTTTCCGTTTTCGGTCTTTGCATTTACTTCTATATGTTTCTTTGACTTTGAGAAACTCTCCTTTTGTTATCTTTTGAGTTTTCCATCTTCTTAATATCTTCTTTGTTCCTCTTTAAGAAGTAATATTCCTCATTCCACCAGTCTTTTTTTCTCTCTTCACTTCTTACACTAATTTCTACCTTCACTTCTGGATCTCTTATCAGTTATTCCAATTCATCCCATTTTGCTTGCGTATTTGCTTCAACAAAAGTGTGAGTTTTTAACTTCTCTTCATATGCCCACTAACCCTTTCATCCCATATTATTTTGCTTTTTTTCTAATCTTTTTCCTGTATTCTGTCATTATTCTTCTATTTCAACTTGCAGTGGCATATGTCAAAATCTATCCTTTCTCCTACTTTGAACTACGAAATCTCTTCCCATACTTTTTCATTCACTATTGAATAATCTATTATCGAGTGTCGGTCCTACTTAAGTTAATTCCTTTTCATCATCGTCAGTTTTAAATATTTCCATTCAAGATCCCCCATCCTCTCTGTTCGACTAATTCTAAACAAAACTGTACTCATAGAACTGGCAAATCTTTAATAATAATCAACATACAAAGGCTAACGGTAAAATTAAACTTTCCTTCGATACACACTAGACGGTAATAGAAGCTTAATGGTTTATAGTAAAAAGGACCAAAGTCAACTTGATTTACTCATATAATAGGGGACACCGGTAGAGTCGTTGGCTTAGTGCCAAATTGCTGCACCATGAATTATTGGTTTGATTCCTGGGTAAGGCATGTACATGGAGTACAACATAATTGATTCAAAAGACGTATCTATACTTCAGTCACTTCTTTGTGTCTTTGCACAAGAATATCGTCAAATATCTGGACTAACAAATACTTACTCCCCATTTTTCAACACAGATTATTGAAGAAAAAATCGAAGAAGCAGCCGCCTACAACGTGACAGCTTGCTGCGTTGAAGCCGACTTGAGCAACGTCTGCCTCCCCCTATGTTCCTACAACGCCAACATGAGCGACATCAAACTCTTAGCTGGAGTATGCGGTGCCGAATTCCACAAGTTACTACGTTGTGGAGCTGGTGGCCGTAACCACGGGGCTTGTTGTACCCGAAGAGGTGTTCCTCCAGCTTGTCTCTCCCTATGCTCGGGTGTCATCGTTGACTCACTACTAGTCACTGCAACAACATGCGTCCCATACATCGGGAACATCGCTCAGTGCTTTGAAGAAGGAACAGGACTTCTGCCTGGACCAGTGTCAGAATTACACTCTACTGTGGTTGACGAACACTCGGTTCTTCTAGAGTGGGAACCTCCAGGTGAAGGGGTTAATGTTTCGGATTACGTGGTACACTACCAAAAGGTGGATAATACGTCTATGCATGAAACTCTTTTGAAACTAGACCATGTAAGTACCATGAGAGTATACACATTTTGAGAAATGTTTATTTATTGCGTTAATAGCAAGTCAACGTTACTGGAACTACCGCAACTCTCACGGAACTGGAAGCTGAAGCGACGTATCACATCTTCGTTGTGTCCCGTAATCCCCACGGGACATCTCTTCCCTCATCCATCATCGTTATTAAATTGGTAAAAGCAGGTGCGTTAGTATAACATGTGTGCACATTAGGTATATTTGCATTTATTGATTCTCGTACACAGATGGGCAATGGGTGAAAGCCGTTACATCTCCACCACATTCGCTAGCAGTGGCAGCCCACAGCGCCACATGGGTCACGATTTCGTGGCAGCCTCCAGAATTCAGTCACCCGTCCGAGCAAATCACCTATAGACTATACCATAAGTCGACGGCCGAAGAAAATTATCACATCATAAACGTCACTTTAACATCGCACATGATTATAAATCTGAGTCCCAACACGCAATATATTATTTACGTGACAGCCATTACAGAAAAAGGAGCGAGTATGCCTTCAGAAACACTAATTGCTTGGACGGATCCAGCTTATCCTGCTTTCGTCGAGGTAGGTGCTTTTATGTTTGAGCGTTGTGTGGCTATAGGTCGTTCTTGCAGCCTCCCACTGTCCATCCAATTAACTTGGTCATTGAAGGTAGCAGCATGACCATTTTGTGTATAGCAATGGGTACACCAATGCCCACTATATCGTTGTATATTACTGGAAGACTCGTAAGGCAGGAAACTACAAGACATATGGTTACCGTTATCCATAATGTCACCAGGGATATGGATCAGATTTCCTGTTATGCGGATAATGGATATGGTACTCCGATGCAAGCATCGAGGAGAATTACTATCAGTCGTAAGTATTTACAAAATGGGTTATAAATTTTCTCTTGACCTCGAAAGATGAACATGAACCTGAACATAAACTATATAATAAAGAGGAGTATAAAAAGGCATTTAAAGATCAAGTTTCTCTTCGATCGGTTTGTGTAGTATGTATTGAAATGGAGACTTTTGTCATTCTATTTCGAGCTTAACGAGGTAATCTGCTTCACGCCAGGGGAGAGAGATGGCGTCCTCAATCGTGACGCGGTTTACGAACATTAAAAAAAAATCTTGAAAGATCGGGCAGATTTGAGTTGGCGTCTAATCTTGTTTTAAAACTTTGGGGAAACCAATACTGTCGCTACAATATAGAAAAGTTTTGTCTGAGTCTTTTGAGCCTCAGCCTACTCTTGCCTTCTTAAGTTCGCCAAGATTTCTCCTCCCCCTTTTCACGACTTAAAAAAAAAAGAGAGCCTACACTTCTTTTGTGTTTGTTTTATTATACAAAATTCAGTATTCATAAGATTCATTTAGCCGGAATCGTGTAAAATTTGGAAACTCGATAATAATGTTATTGATATAATCAAAAGTCCCCTATAGAAATGTAATTACTGCTTTTAATTTATTCCTTTGTGACCACACAACCGCTACATTCTATATGTTAATCATTGATGAGTATCCTTCCCCTATTAATAGCATTTCCTTTACATTCAAACACTGCCAAATGATTAAACAGAATACCAATAGTTGTCCGTCCATCAAAATTATTCATCATCCAAATTACATTACAGACCCACCCCACATCCAAGCCAGTGGCATAACAATGGCTGCCGTTGGCGATTCCGTTACCTTAGAATGCAAAGTAGATGCTCAACCTGAACCAAAAATGATATTCTGGAAGAATCACGAGCTACGAACTCCAGTCATCCAAGGGGGAAAATACGACATCAAAACAATGCATATGAAAGACGAAGAAGACAAGTACGTGATGCAACTTACCATCAAGCAGATCACCGAAATGGACGTCGGTGATTACTTCTGCCATGCAGAAAATGCTTTCGGTAATAGAACGCAAGCGGTGTCGGTCCGTATTAGAAACGTAGCAGCGACACACAACGTAACGCAGTGTTGCATCGAGCAAAACGTAACGTCGTCTTGTATGGACGCGTGCTCATTCTACCTAGATATGGATGCAGTAATTGATAAACCTGAATGTATCAACGATTTTGATAAATTGATGAAGTGTGCAGCTGATGGATCTGATCATAGGAGCTGCTGCACGCAGTGGGGTGTTCCTAGGAGGTGTTTGGATTGGTGCAGAGGAGAGCCAATTCTTAACAGCAAAATATGTGTACTGTCATACACTAAACAAATAATGAGCTGCTTCCATGAAGGGAGAGAGAAGCTTCCAGGTCCTCCTCAAAACGTTCGCGTGGAATATATAGATTCACACTCAGTTAATGTCTTGTGGGACCCTCCAATCAAGAACCCGCACACTGTTGAATTATACAGGGTGTTCTGGAGGCTCGTGGACGCTCAGGGAAGAACGGGCCAAAAAGGAGACACCTCAGAAACACATTTGAAGATCAGTGATCTTAAAGATGGTGCTACGTACGAATGTGTAGTTAAAGCTGGTAATAGTAAAGGAACGTCCACCTTAACAGAACCCATCAAATTTACAGTTGGTGAGAAGTACATAACATCGGCTGCTAACCATACAGACGATGGAAGCCACGTGGGTGTTGCTGTAGCCATCGTGTTGGCTCTTGTCGTAGTGGCAGCAATTGTGATAGCTGCTATTTGGTTTATGAGAAACAAAAAAATGTTAGGAGTCAAGAATTCCAATGGGGTAGCATTTGAAAACCCAAGTTATTTAAGAGAAGTTAACATGGATCATATACAGGTACTATCAATGAGCTGAACTATCTTTGAAGTTGAACTTCTTTCAAGTTTGACTAATTTGTCTGTTATTTATAGGTACCTCAAGGTCAAAGTGACAGTGCTGCCGTATCGAATGGTACCGCCAACGGCATTTCAGTATCTTCAGCTTCAGGAGTGCAAGGTTGGAAAAACGAAGCTCTTCACGTACCTGCAGCGACCGAAGTGAATCCGACTCTTTACGAAGAGTTAAAGTTAGGACAAGATGGAGCCGGCTTCAAGCGTCTTAAGCCCTAGTATGAGGCCAAAACAGGGAATGAGTCCAGGTTTTAGATGAATTCGGTCACGATTTTGTGATATAGTAATAAAATAGTGAAATACTTGTACCACCATCAAGGTATTTTACTCGAATACCTCATGTTTTAGTGTAATTTTATTTTTCTCTCCTAGTTGATAAGGTTGTAAAAATGTGATTGAGATAGTTTTGGGAGGGGGGAGATCTGGACAATTTTATTAGCATTAGAGAAATGACGAAAAAAAAAGTGTAAAATAGAAAAAGTTTTGTAAACGCACTTCTAGATTGTAAAAAAATAGCTAAAACCAGTCCAATGTTTGTATTACTAGAAATAATATCTAATCGTTAATAATGACTGAGTGTATCAAAGTGGAAGAACTTTTGAAGTCGCGTGCGTTAAGTTGGTTGCATAGCTCAGCACGGACATTTCCGGTGATATATAATATTCCACAATAAAGAAGTTTGTCACTGTTTTGGTTGTCCAATCGAGGAATTTGGTTTTATTGGATACATGCGTACGATATCTTCTGACAAAATAAGAATTGCGATGACAACCGCATTAACTCTTAAGATAGCGTCTAGTCTTATGTACTAATGAAACTATTAATTGCTGCGTATGTATAAAAATAAACCCAAGTTTCTTGATAATCATACTTCTATGTTATTTTTATTTATAATAAAGATAAAAACATGTAGTAGTTTTAAAGAATACACGTATTGTGCCTTTTTCACAAATCTTGTAAATGATATCTGATTTTGAAATAATGTGTAGAGATTTTTAGATATTTCTTTGTACATAATTTTTAAAAATTTGTAAAAATGTAAGATGTCACAAATAGAGAAGGCAATAGAACTAAATATAAAATCCAAAGATAACCCTTCGTTTTTATCGAAGATTAAGAACTATCCTCAACATTTCTTACCACGCGATAGACTTAGCTGGCACCAATCGCTTTGATTACTCGAGATTTTACATTAAAAAAATGTAGCTCATTACAACCCCTGTGTTCTTTATATTTATAATATCTTGGTTTATCAAAATTTCTAAATATCAAAACATTTAAAACCCCAAATTAGACCGCGAAATATCTAGGTTTCTCATGTGAATAGATAAAATTAATGTTACACGGAATTCAAATCTTCGAAACACGAAATAAAAGCACTATTGATATAACTGAATAGAACACATTTATTTTAATGGCCAATTCGACTGATATGGTCTTATTGAAAAAAAACTGGTAATTCAGAAAAACTGGTCTTACACTTTTGGAAGAAGCAGTATAAATCAGCAGATACATATCTTTAATTCTTTTATTCGATGATTCACAAATTATGGAAAAGTTTTCTATAAAATTGTTAATAGTGAAAAATTTATAACTTAGAATAATGGGATATATTATTATCCTAATAAATTAAAAATGAAAATTTGCCCAGAGATGAATAACACGCTAGATCGTTTACAAGCAACGTTGCAGAAACCCATTGCTTATGAAGAATAAGATATAAAAATATTAAAATTTAATGAGCAGATTCAATTTAAATTTTAATTAAGTTAAAAAAACCAAATTGATAAAGATCTGATTTATGGCATGTCTCGGTGTTCATGAAGACACTTACACCGAAACACATTGCTAAAAAATGTTTTAAAATTTAAGGAATCTTTACCAGAAAACATGCAACCCACTCTAAGTTAAGTTGTTAGAACCAAATATCAATTTATTTCTGTCAATGTTTATATTTGTCGATATATATATTTTTTTATTTTAAACAACCTGCTTTCGGCGCGAACTAAAATGTTGAAATACTAATGTTACTAATGTAGCTTAATTGACGAAATGACAGTAGGTCAGTAATTGAATTTAAAAGGGTAGACACATTAATAATAATATGTCCGTTGAAGGTAGTGGGTACCGAAACGGATGTGTGTATTCTATCAATATATTTTAAACTACACTAAACTACACTATTGGTACACTATTTTCTGACTTTAAACGTATTTGAATGTCCACGAAATCAAAATGAAGCACAGACGCCTTTTTTAAAAGCGGAACACACTATGTATGTACCTACTACTTACAGCATGATTTTTTTACCTGTGTTAGGTACTTAAAGTTTAGCACTATATTAATACTAGTTTCTGTTTCTTCGAAACGCTAGTCCAGTTTTAATTTTGTGAGTGACCACATGATTTTTCACTGCTCAAATTTGCTTAGTATTTTTATTATGCATGTTTATTATGCATTTTTAACCTAAACATACAAGGATAATCCACTTTAAAAATTGGTTAAGCTGTAAACAATTTTGAAATGTTTAGTGCATCCTTGGACCATATAATGGATATCAGACACTCTAAAAAACACATTTCGATGTACTTCTAACTCATGTTGTTAAGGTTTTAAAAAAGTTAATTAAATGAAAAGATTGACACTTTTAGAGAAAAAAAGCTTCTGAGATTTATAAAGGTGCTTAACTTTAAAATATGTATAATGTGACAGTTATAACAAGTGAAATAAACCATGTGAACCTGTCTCTACCAACTAATTGTGAATGATACTCGATAGCTCGGATTTTGTATTCAAGAGTTAACTGTCTTCTTATATTATAAATCAAATCATTTGAATGAAACATTTATCAGGTCAAGATAATAATCATGATCAGAGCTACAATCAGTTCACTTGGTTCGCTGAAACACTAACTCGCAGTTGTGAATCGTTAAAAAGTTTAACAAAGCTCTCTCGCAAGCAAAACTCTTGCTATGGAAACACAATGATTTTTTTCAAGTACTTATTTTAAAAACTAAGAGCCGAAGTTAAAAATCAACTGTTTTGGTAATGTATTTAAACGATCATACGTAATGTGTATCAAATGGGAAAAGAACAATTTAGTATTTTCATTTGGTGTATAAAATTGCCGTTGGTAAAAAAATTCAAAATTATAAGAGTTCAATTTACAGATGTTAAGAATTTTGCTGACAGAGTTTAGAATTTAGACTAATCAATTAATACAATAAAATCTATAAAGTGCTACTGATATTTAATTTTATTTTATTTTTTCTAGTGGCGGCTCCTGACCTTCTCAAATGGGTCAATAATTATATATAATTTGATTGAAAATATAAAACAAATCTTGTTAATTACCAATTAACAGACGAAGTTGTGAAAAAATACAAAAATAGATTCAATAAAAGTAAAAAAGTATTTATCCACATACCTCTGGTTTTAATTCAATTTAACCTAATACTCTGAATTGAAATCCTGCAAACGTTTTAAGGTTATCGTAAAGATGGTAAATCGTTAATCCAACTTTATCGGTTTATCCCTCCCAAAAATCAATTACGTCATATCAAAATTTTGTCTAATAAATTATATCTAAAATGTGCAAAATATTAAATTGTAAAACTACAATTGATTGATAAACATCAATGCATTCATATTTTACAGAATTGCTTCTGCAGGGTGACCCAAAAAAATTAAAGAGTGGGCAATTTATTTTAATATAACGTTTATGCTCACAACACCGAATATTTACAAAATATTAAACGTTTCGTTAGCCACGTTGGTAATATAATTATACCTAGACAAAACTAAACTAAACTGAAATTACCACTAGATACTTTTATACTCTAACTAGGACTTCTTCCACTCCGTCAGTGCCGTAAGGATAATTTATGATTACATTTTGTTATTTAAAGAATTCCAATATCTTCGTGAATGTCTCAAAATTTATAATTATTGACCAATTTAACAAAATCAAATTTTATTTTTACTTTGTTATTTTATATTCAGCTGGATAGTTAATACAACTTTTTCGGCGATCGAAACCGCGAGTTCCAATTTCGCTTAGTGCTCAACATTTCTTGATTGCCGTTGTGATAACCCAAACATCCCGTAAAAAAAAATTGAAAGCCCGCGAAAAATTAAAAAAAAAATGAAAATTTGGCCTGTGATTGTGTAACAAAAGGAACCCTACGTAGTGTGTTTTTTTTTTTTTTGAATGTGTTCAGATCTTAGATCATATAATAAATAGATATAGTTGGATTCATGTATCTTTTTACACACGTGACCAAAAGCTAACGTCCGAACTAATAACTGTTACTTTGTGGTAATTAGTCAAAAAGATGACAATGTTCATAACGTCAACATGACACAAATGTGTAAGCTCAGGCAGGTCTTTTGGTTTCGGCGCTTTCCGATTGAGTCGTGATTTTGCCGGACTGGGAAGGACGCCGAATCTTTCTTTTCGAGTTTTAATCTTCGAAACCGTTCGGCGAGTAACGCCTAGAGCATCTGCAACTCGCTAAAAATTTGAGCGAAATTATTAACCATGAACCTTCAAGTGGTTTTTACTTACTTACTCGTTCTGTACCATTTAATGAGATTAAAGGACCACTGTTTTCCTTCTCAAGAGCAAAATACTCTATAAAGTTGGACACGATGTCTTGGGCACGGGAACTCAAACGTTTGTCCGTCATATTGTAGACCAGACACGAACAAGAAATAAGATAACAAAACATAAAAAATAGGACAACGAAACAAGAATCCTAACAACCAACGAACTTTACGAAAAACTGAATAGAAAACTTGAATAGAACAACGAAAAACTGCGATTAACCACTCTGAGTAAAACCAAAAATGACAGTGACGTTTGATGAAAAATCGATGAATTATTATCAGTGACTAGATTGACTACATCAGTGCCTGTCGCACTATGTGGACGCATTTATTACGTATTTTATCTTTTTCTAATTCAAGGAACTTTGTGGAAGAGAATAACTGACGTAGAGCGTAATTTGGCCTAATTTCGGTAGACATACTATTGTCTGGCTCTTCGTTTTTGTAATCCTTAAAACAAAGATTCTTATGGTAGGTACTGTCTGAGCTTGTATGATACTTCGATCACGTGTGTCAAAAGATACATGAATCCAACTATACCAATACTCAAAATGAAAGCTGTGACTAGACATGAAGCTACCTGTTGTCGTTTTCTACGTCAAGGGGAGTAGTATAATGCTATCCTTGTGTGATCACCACATCTTCATCTTTGTGATATGCATTTCATCCGTATATGTCTATTTCACTTCCATCCTTGTACCGCACCAGCGCAACAAATCGCTTTTGACAGATGTTTCTTCTAACCTCTCTTTCGAGTTCTTGTACGAGAAACAGTTTTAGAATGTAGAACAAAGATCCTATTTTAAGTGATGTAATCATAACGGATCACAATTGCTACCCAATACTTTACTATTCCTTTCGTTATCTCCTGTGAATTATTTATAAAATCAAGCTGTCAACATCTTTCGTACGAAGTTAGTTCAGACATACTTCCTAAAATTTAGGCGCGCAAAATTCAAATAGTGATCAGGCAAGGATAGCTTCATTGTAATCCCTCCATGCACAAGAGAGACGTGTGACAGGAGGATGTCGTCACAGGCTCTCCTAGGGAAAGAACACGGCGTGTTGGTATCTATTTATTATATGATCTAAGGTTCAGATGCAAGTGGTGAACCCCAAAGTTGAAAAAGTACCGCTAAATTAAACACCAAATATATGGAAGACACAAAATTATTTTTTTCACTAGCAGCCTGGACGCATGCAAATGTCGACTCATTTAGTGGTAGCAAATTCAAATTTTGCTACCACGGGTTCAAAAAGAAAAATTGAGGTTATGTACGCAATGTTTGATGTGATTATTTCTTAAAAAATGAACAAATGTGTGCTACAAACATTACTTGAGTATACGCATGGTAGTTGGTAGACGGTAGAAGATAAAATGATTAACTCAGCGACAAGTATAAACGGTTTTCTTTGTGTTGAAGATTTAGATCAAGTTTGATTAGAAATCAAAACAAAATCATGTTGCGTCAAAAAATTGAACGTTTATTTTTCAGTTTATTGTCTTATGGTTTCTACTAGTGAAAAAAATAGTATATTAACCACGGTTGCAAAGCCACTTCTAGACCTCGCACTTAGAGCCCTCGACGCTGCGCGTCTCGGGTTCTAATTTGCGCTCGGTCTAGAATGCTTGACTCTGCAACCTTGGCTAATAATATACTATATTCCTCCACTGACAAAAAAAGAAAAAAAAGCTGCGACTAAGTTGTGCCGGTTGAGAACACCGCTTAATGGGCAGCTACAAAAAAAACTTTGAATGAATTCAAATCAAACGTTCTGAATCAACTCAAATATTTGAATATCACAAATTTAATAAAAACATAGAAACAAGAGAACAAAATTCTAATAAAAAAACTGTGCAGCGGCAGCAGAGCGCTATAATAGTGTGGTGATCGAACTATATCAATTTCATTCTGGAGCACAGCAAAATTACCCACAGGGAGCGTCGTAGCACGAGCGGAGTTTGGGGCTCCTGGTCGTGGCTGTTCTCCTACCCACTATCGCAAAGCATTGCCGCCCAGCACCCCTCTATCAAACTTGTGGTTGTGTCCCGGTGATTACGAAGCCGACAGCCAAACGTCATCTCGACCGCTCCTGACATGTATTCTAGGCCTGCATCCTTTGTGCAGATGGCGCGACCGCCAGCTCGACAAGGAACCGCGCACTCCGCTTCCCCCCCCCTCCCGTATTATTGTGTTATTTACCTAAATTCCATTTAAATGTTCACTTTCACTGATTCTGATATTAAATGACAACCAAACAAGTGTTAAAGTTTCAAAAAGAGCAATAAACAACATTTAAATTCGCCATACACTATCGTCAAATTTTTAAACAGCAAAGAATTCTTATCTGAAACATTCATCAACAAAATATTTACAAAACAAAAAAAAAACTAGCAAAGATTTATAAAAACAAAACAAAAAAATCTGGTGTGAAGTAAAACTTGTGTAGAGAAAAAATTACGTGAGGTGAGGAACTTCAGCGCATGATAAATTATACAACAAGGAAAATTACTGAAATTAAACTACTGAGATAGAAAAATTATTGTATGAGGTGGAAAATTTGCAAAGCTAACAAAATTACATGAGTTTAATATTTGTGTCCACTCAAGTTATTGGTTAAATTTTAAGAAGTGAAGTTATTCAGCTGCATTGTGGGTCATCGTTTTACATTCCCCCAAGCAAACACAAAAAACACAACAGGCAATCTGGAGGTTCAAAATGGCGTCGGACGAATGCGTCGTTCAAACAAAAAAATGCGTCAAAAATATCTCTGTAGAAATGTGATCAATTCTGTGGCGTTGTGCAAATAATGGTCGAAATCAAAGGAATAAAATGCACGTCCCCCATGACTCACAGTATTGTTAATTTGTTCAACGAGATTTTACAGTTCAAACACGTGCTCGGTTTGGAAATACTCTTTCAACGTGGCCGTTGCCATAACAAATAATTTATCTGAGCTTAAATTATGCCACACTTTATCAACGATTCAAACAAAGAATTTACGTTATGTTAAATTATGCCAGACTTTATCAACGATTCAAACAAAGAATTTACATTATGTTAAATCATGCCACACTTTATCAACGGTTCAAACAAAGAATTTACATTATGTTAAATTATGGCTTGATTCAAGTGACTAGTTACTTACGACCATTAGCTTTGAGAGTTTATATCGTGAACTGTCCCCAACACAAACAAAAACACCTGATAAATAAACAGAAAATGCATTCCTTGTTGCGACAATTAGGTCTCGGTGGTGTAATTTTCAGCGTTGCGAGAAAATATGTGTCTGTGATATAGCTTTGCACGTTGCGAGAAAATGTCTCGGTAATGTGATAATGATATGATGGTAATAACTGCCTAAAGGGAAAAATTTAATCCCCCCGTACCTCAGTCCAGGATATTATAAATTCTATCGCACTTTCCCGGTATTTTACCAGAGTGGCGCAACGTTAGATTGATTTAACTGCCGTAAATGAACTATTAGCAATCTTGTCTGAGGAATTAAGAAGTGTTATAATGTAACAGTTGAGTATAACATCCAGAAACCTTATTCATAATTAGATAAACAAAAAGTGAATCCTGACTAAGTGAATTTCATGAAAACTCCTGCAAATGCTCTATCTGAACAAATCTAATGTCTGTCACATTGTGTTAGAACTAGTTAACGATTAAAATCCTGATACGAACTATGAACAATAAAACAAATTTACATAACGTGTTAGCGTCGGTCGAAAATTCGCCAATTTCCGCTTAGAAAAAAACGCAAAAACTAGCTAACAAACTTAACCTAGCTCACTCACCACGTGGTTTCATACATAACAAACAAACCAAAAAGTGATCCTCTACCAAGCAGGCACCCCTCTCACTATCAACCCTCTAATCAAAATTCCCTAGCAGAACTACCCACTACCAGAAAAAGAACTAAACGTGCACATAACTGCTTATGTTTAACGATTTTCCAGATTGAAGTTTTTTCAAATTCAAATTATTCAAGTGCGATTTCGCGCCGCTGTTAATTTTCTCTAGCGCGAAATTTTAATTCAGATTCGGTCGCCACACCGTTATAGGATTTTTTGCATTAAAGAACTGTTCTAATACCAACCACTATTGACAATCATAAACAATCTACGTTTTTGCAGGCCTAGACCGGTTGTTTAAAAATAGTGTTTTTTAAAGTAGGGAACAAGAAATAACCTAAAGGTGTCCAATCAGGTGGTCGAGGTGGGTACATATAATCTGTGTGGGGCGTTATTAAAATTCCCTAAGAAAGTTCAAAGTTGGTTGAGCTTATGAGCTGTTGCGCCGTCATGTTGAAAACATCCACTATGATGCTCCAGGATCAAGCTAATCAATTCCTGCTGCAAATTCTGACCTCTCGCAGGTGTAACTGACCCCTCGAAGAAAATGGGTCCAAATACTCGTCTTCGAGAAATGACACACCAAACTCTAATTTGTTTATTATTTATTTGCTAAATGCAAAATTTAAACACACATTCGTTTTCTAATTTTTTAGTTTTGATTAATAATAACTATCCAATATACACGAAAAGATTATACCACTATACGCAATTTAACTTATTTCATAATAAATTATAGTATAAACTCCAAAGGTTTTATAACAGAAACTAAAGCTAAACGTGCATGACTAGCTAGCTAAGTACATATATTATACGTACATTTCACATACTTTATAAAGATTTGCTCGCATTCATGTCAGGTGAGATTTATCCACTTCAGCACTTGCAGTAACTTCATTTCTCTATGTTGGTCATCTCTCGTTTTGTTCATTAGTAATAATACAAGAAGTGAAATGGAGAGGAATTCATTCATACTGCAAATAGTTATTAACGGAACGGCTGCGCGAATGTCGCTTTAGGGCACGCAAATGACAATTTTTAAGCTAACAGGAACGGAATAAACAATCATTCGAAAAATACAAACATGTTTGTGAACGAGTTACACTTTTTTGCAACAGAAAATTTTAGTTTTTAGTTCATCGGGGTAAAATTTTATTGTTGTCACGATGTGAAAAATGAGGATACCGTTGGTATTTTTTTAAATATCGTATTGTTAGGGTAAATACATTTTTGGTGTTTCCGGCTAAGAGTAAATCCAGAAAAAATGTGCACGAATGCCTGGTAGTGATAACATAAAATCCACATCAGCGATAGAAACGGAATGATTAAATATACCTATAGATTTATTTGATGTATTAACTGTGTGTTGAGTACTAACCCAGTGGGAACGTTTGTAGGGCGGTCATTCCGCTGAAATAGAAACATTCACCAAGCCGTATATCAACATAGCTATACCTAATAGTTAATGTAAACATACATTTATTTTACCAAATTGCTTGGGCGTGAATTCATTAATCTTAATTTTGCGTTAAGACCGAATCCTATTTTTTTTTAGAAAATGATGAGTTCGGCAGGAATCATACACACCGTGGATTCACAATTCTTGTATAAGAAGTGAAAGTATTATAATAAAATTTTGTGTAATTTGTCGTGTATGTGTTTATCTTGTCGTAAATGTAACTGATTTTGTTGTAAACTGAGTTTATATTTGTTTACTTTTGCCGTAAATGGAAATGTATTAATCCTTTACAAACAACAACTTTTTAAGGCGAATTTCCATCCATTGCACACCAAGCGGGATAGGTACTGAAAAATAATAAAATCGTCCCTTGTCTGTTTCGTTGTAAACCTCATCTTCAGCGAATTGTTTATTCTATTAGGTTTTATAGCATTCCCTGAATTTTTTTTATAACATATTTTTTATAGGTCATAAAATGAAATGAAGATTTTATTATTTTTTAGCATAATAGCCAGTACTGCAGTGCATGAAAATTCCACTTCAGCTGCACATGTTATAATTTTCGAGTACATCCCTTATACGTTTTATTTTTCTGTAAAAGTTGAAAACTTGTTGGCGAAACCATCCCTTGTAAACCTGTATAAATTTTAATTCATAACACTTTTTTTCCGAAAAATGCAATGAAAACCTTGTCATTTTTACGCCTTTGTAAAAACACTCCGTTTTTAACATCTCGTAAAATTTCTCATCCACAGGAAAAGTTAACCGTCTGTCACTTCACTATCGCTCGCGATGTTTTAAGCTTTACTGAACTTCCTACCTAAAGCAGTCACCTGCTGACGGTCAACGGTAAAATATTCACCCCCACTATAATTAAAGTCGGAACAATTGACGAATTCTTACGGTGGGCCGAAAAATTTAGTCCGGTTCCGCCCCTGTAACCACCCGTTCAACAGGTGTCCGTCGATTTCCGGCTCTAGTCGAGGAAACTCGAACACGCAATATTCTCCTAGGCTAGGTATCGCTCTTGCATTTTCCTCCATCCAGTGATGCTCCGTCCGTTTGACATTTTACAAGACAACAGTCAACGCAGAGTAGGCGCTGAACCTCACGTGCTCCGGTTACGTCTAGTGTGCTCTGAATTTTTTTTTTGAAAAACAGTGTTTTTAGTGCGTCACCGGCTATTCGGAAAATTTAATTAAAAACCGCACGAACATTTAATTTTTTTTGTGTTTAGGTGACTTGGACTTACGCATTCGGTATGTACATTTTTTTAAATAATAATAATTAGAGACAATTAAATAAATCGTCAGTTATAAATAACAAAAATTCCAAAGTGGTTAATGACACAAGAAATACGAAAATACTGTGCTCCAATTTGTTCTAGTCAAGTACTTTTTTTGACATTCTTTTAGCCGCTTTTTTTTTGATATTGTTTTTTTCTAGCAATTACGAGATGATTTCATAATGTGAAGCGTACCGGCGAAATGCCTCACACGATCTTACGGCCCCATCATCCCGTCAATGGTTATGCCCATCATTACACCCAGAATGGACATGTCAAAAGTAATGGGCATGGTGGTGAGTACATTGTAATTTCTTTTGTTGTACGGAAGTCGTGACCTACTTTGTACCGTGATTCTGGTCTTGGTTAATGCATTTTTTCGTTGTTTGTTTTACTTTTTCTGCTTTGAGTTCGATGATTAAGGTGCATTCACATGACTGCTAATTATCAACAATAGCGCGAGCAACGATAATGAAGGTCTTGAGTAATGAGGGGCGATGTATGATTGCGTCTGAACAGGGCTTAATAAGCTCTAAATTATTGTTATTTTTTTAAACAATGTTGCAATTATGTACAGTCAAGTTCATGAATAATGCGCCTCTTGAACGACGTTGCAATTAACGCATACTTTGAGTGACAGTAGGATGACGAAGATTTCTGCAGACATTTAAAGTAAATACGGCAGCTATCTATCGGATGTAATTTCAAGATTCTCAGATATCGTCTTCGAAAGCGTTGTTCACATGACATGCACAAGTCCACTTCCATGTGAAAATCTCCAACCTGTGAAAAAATTACTATTAATTTTCGTTTTAGGTGCAAACAATTTTTTTTCTATGACTTATTCTGCCGACTTCCACAAATTGCACAGCAAATTAGTTTTTAATTTCACTCTGATCTTCAGATTAAAATTTGATGTTACATCATGATTTTTTTGGACGCAGTAAGCTGATTTAATTATTTATGCCCACAGAAAAACATTCTGAATTCTAAAGCGCATTAAAAAATAATTTAATGCTAACAGCTTTTTTATTCCGCTTAAAGTTTTAAAGATACAGGTTGTTTGATTCCTGTGGTAACAAACACTACAAGTAAATTAATGTTTTATTAAAAGGAAAAATGTTTAAAACATCACTGCCGTTTTATACAAATTTTGGAACACTTGTTGTAATTAGATCACTATGCTCTGCTGACCACTTATTCATAGTTCGAACGGTCATAACAGTTTTATTTTATGCTTCTTTTGCTTTGATTTTAAAACAGTTATGAAACATCGAAAGCTGTATGTAGTGTTACACTTCTTTTATTTACGACTTTTTTACAGTTTTGCTCAGTATGCAGTCTCTTTAACTAAATGCGATGAACTGAAGTACAAAATCGGTGTGGTTGTTGTTAAATTAACAGTAGCATAAATTTAAAATCATATTTAAATTAAAGTTATGATGACCTTCAGCCTACGCTCACAAACAAAACACACACTTTTGTTTCTATTTTAATTTAAAAACGGTACCGATTTTTTAAGAATGTTATTAACAAATTCGTTCTCATGCAACAACTGTAAAATTAGTCACATTATTTGCGCCGTGAAAATTTTGCACGAGATAATGTTGACAAAACAATAAGAGCAAAAGGACAAATTAAAAAAAAAATTGAACGTAACTAAGTGTGTCCAAAAAATTAGACTGACATTATTTAGACAAATCTTCCTGTCTGTTCAACAGTTTGATTCCGTAGGTAAAATTTTACAACACTCGGTCCAGTAGTTTCGTACATTATCTGTATAATAAAGTCGCCAATGGACAGATAACAGACATACACAAACGGGAAACCTACTTTTTCGTATTCTAATTTTTTAATCGGATAATGTTTTATATATGTAGTACCTGGTTGCTATGAAACTAATAAAAATTCTACCGACACGATTCTAACGCTTTTAACCTTTATCTTTGAGAAATATTGAACATGTCCTTCGATGATGTTTCCATTAATAACTGAATGGTGCCTGCTGTTTGCAAAACATTTATTTAAGATCGCATATTTAAGTTGCATAAATGAAGCAATAGATACATTGAAACCTTGCAAATCTCTTAATAATTTAGATATACCACAAGTGATAACACAACCTGTCCATTTACACCTTTCACGTCGATGATTAGAACGTCAGTGGGAGGAAGAAAATTGACTGAGAAAAAGGACTCTTTATCTAGAGTTTCGACAGATCACGAATTGTCATAGGTGACGAAAGAATCAAGATAGCAAATGCAAAATCAACGAGAAATCTCTGCTGAAACAATGGAGAATTCGAATTTAAGGTTACGCTTATTTACTTCAAATCACGGATTTATGCTGTAAATACCACCCGAAACATAACAAGTGTTGTTTATATTTTTTGGGAGTACACTTTGTTACTAATGACATAATTCACAAACTCGCTAAAATAAATTTTCATAAACAAATTAGCAACGATAATGTTGCTTGAGAGTCACTTATTTATTGCATCAGTCGTAGTCATAGAGTAATTTTCTAAACAAGGTTGGGTACAGAGTGGAGATGGGCACCTTAAACTTTATTAATTAAAAAGAACATAAATAAAATAAACTTAAAGGACGCGACAAATGTCACACCTTTCAATAACCGGACAACACCTACGAAGATTCAATTTTTAATTAGATATTGCCATCTAGAAGCTGACATTTTAGTAAAAAAGTTATTTTTATGAACGAAAGTCGTCTTTAAAATATGTGATATTTGTATATATTTACAGAAAAACATCAGTGACTTGCTACGGTCGTACTAATAAACAAAATTAAAATATTTTTGACGAGCCACTAGTCGAGTCGAAAATTGTTCTAGACGGTTCACGAACGAGTTTTTCTTGTATGTTTGGAACAAAGTCGTTGGGTAGAACTGATTTATAATGATTTTCTAACGACAAGTGTGCCTCTATATTATATGAATTATGTGTCTTTTTCTTAAATTACTTCATTACGCATTTTTTATTTTAAAACAAGCGACTTGAAAAAAGTTCATTAGTAATGTATTTACGGATGACTCATGCCTTGAACTGTGCACGAAAATATATTTTAGTGTGGTTTAAATGGAAACAATATAAGAAAAAATAGAAAAGATTTTACAGCCTCGACTAACGTCTCGTAACTGTTATCTAGATCAACGTAAAAAAATTCCAACTGAATAATAGAAGATTTTGTATGAGTAAAAAAAATTAAAGAGGCCAATTTGTTAGATTTGCTAGAAACTCACACAGAATACATGAATTTGATTCAATTCTGTAACAACTAATAATAAATACAAATTAATAACAGTACCTAAATAATTCAAGTGAACTAGTACGAGTAGTTTAAAATTATAAAACTCGTGTACAGTTACAACATATCTTTGGAATTAGTGAAATCTTAGTTTACGAAAACGACGTGTGTGTACTTTACAGTTTCAAACGGTAAAATAAATCTGCAAATTATTACCAGTTTGTTAAATGAAAGTGAAATGTCTTAATGCTCAACGTTTCGTAGCACTAAAGCAGATTACAATTGTGTTTAAAAAAATACGCTGGACACTGCTTGGTCATCGCTGGAACTTTTGTTTTATTTACTCAAACCTGGGGCAAATTTATGCGCTTGTAAGATGCCTAATTTTGTAAAATTAATTTCTACAACGGAAGTTTGCTATAACATTTAGACATATCATCGTCGGCTAAGAAGTAAAGAACATTTTAAATACAAATTGATTAATTTATTGTATTAACTTTACATTGAATAAAAGTTGAATACAAAATACCTATGAACGTTTATGGAGCCGTTGCTCCTTATTCTGTAACCGTAATATTAACATATAATAACAAATTAAAATAGAGGTTTATATTACCAAATTTGTTAGTGCAGATTTTTCAATTAAGCAATTTAAGAGAGAATACAAATATAACTTTTTATCTCTAAAAAACTAGATTTAAAAACTAGTGTTACTGATATGTCCTTAAATACTGAAAGTGCTATTATTACACAAATATTTTGTTTAGAGCTCTCCGTTTGTTCACTTTTATTAATACGCCTTCCGTATTTGTAATTTATTTTATGTTTGACTCACATTTTGGTGTACGTAGTGACACAATTGTGTGTACTATGCTCATTTTTCACCCAGTGCTAATTTCCCAAAAGAAATTTTGTTTACTAGTGTAATTTACGCACTGTAAAATTTTCTTTCTTTAGTGGGTAGCGTATGCAATGTAAAATTTTGCGTCAAAAGTGTAACTGCGTGTAATTTAAAGATAACTCAAGGTTGTACAAGCAAATACGATTTTGTTGTTTGCTTGATTACCATTTGATAGAGGAAAATTATTAGCATAATAATTTTTTTTAAGTTAGAAATTTTTGTTTGAACAAATTTCCGTTTTAGTAAACCAAAATTTATATTTAATAACAATTACAACATGATCTATGTGTGTTGTATTTTTGGAGAGTCGGTAAATGCTAAATTGAATCATTAATGCTGGGCTCTATATTGTTCAGTAGAAGTATGTAATATTTGAACGAAGCTTTCATTATAGTTTGTAAACTTCTCTAGACACTCGTTTTTTAAACACTCGCTCCGCTCGTGCCTAAATAGAGTTGTGATTAACGATGCGTTTGTAAAATCTGTTATATAATTTATTATTAATTACTTCATATTAAAAAAGATATCAAAACATAAAATTGTTAATTTTTTGAAAGCTGATGTTATACAAACTGTAAATGTGTTTGTTATGGCTGGAGTTGTTAGTAAAATACTTCAGTTCGAGAAAATATCAGCGTAGGTGTAGAAATGCATACACAAAGTGTTTGAATTAACTGGAATTCAGTTCTTAAAAAATAACTAAACCTTTATAACTTTGTTGTATGTTTTTGAAAATACCTTTACGGTGTATACATTATACAAATTGTAAACTGTTTATTTTTAATCTACAAATATTGACCAATTTATATAGAGGGTGAGTCACTAAGCCCCCGCTTTTCGATATCTCACAAATTATTACACATAGAAAAAACTTAGTTTTTTAAATGAAACAACCTATATATTTTTAGACATTTTGATTGACCTCTTCTTAGGCTTTACAACCATCACAATGTTTGCAATTTCGATGCGACGTTGCCACGTTATTCAAATTTTCTTATTTTTAAAATCTGTATTACAATATTTTGTGGAGAGATAAATAAAGGTTACACGCTTTGTGGTGGGATAAATGAAAGTACATTTTCCTAAACAGGGTGGTGTTTATATATATTATTTTTTAATATTACAATTA